GACGATTGTAAATCGGCTCCATTTGGCAGACCTGCTCCATAAGGTCCTCCTCCGAGAAGTTGAACTTCATGCGGTAGCGAGGAAGAGCCTTAGTGCGGAAATACATGTGCTGCACCTTAAAGGAGTTGGTTTTGTCGAGGCGGATGTTGTCGTGGTAGAGACCAGTTTGCCCGTAGCTGTTGAGCTGGTCAGCAAGTTTCATGAGCGGGCTCATTCGTTCCGCAAGGTGATAAGCTTCACGGAAGTTTTGATAGTCAACCGTATCGGTCAACCCTTCCTTCTCCTTTTCACCTGCAAAATCTTCGAAAGCTTGCTCATTCTTTGCTTCCGCTTCGGCCGTGGCTCTGGCCTCTGCCTCGTAGGCCCCTGGCTCCACGTACGTCTTCTGCTTTCCCCAGATGCCCTGCTCGTAGAGGTTGTCATCATCGTTTCAGCTGCGTCTGTTGCCAGCGTGTGCTTGCCGCCCATGGCTTGACATGCCTCTGCAAGGTGCCTGATGATGCTGTGCAAAAGCTTTGTGACGCCCGGCTTCAAGTCTTCGAACATCACGAATCACGAAGCTTGGATCAACTGTCCGGGGGTTCGTGATGGCTAGCTGCAGCAAGTGAAGCAAGTAGGCAGGCCGACAAAGAAGCGACATGGAGACGATTTCATCTCGAACGGCAAATTGTGTGTCTTGTGCAGATCCCGCAGATCCTTCGCCCGCGACTTGCAACAAGAATCTTGCCTCCTTGGCCATGTTACGGATCATCTCCTGAACAAGCCCGAGACCAGACGCACACAACAACAATCATTCGCACTCACGAGGAGTCAAGCTGTGACGTGAGTGATGCAGCGATGCAGTCGCACATATGCAGTTATGCACTTCGTCGTACATTGTATTATTGTATTCGGCAAAAGCAGTAACATCACATGCTATATGTTAGTTATGTAGTTATGTAATATAACAAATAACAAATATATGTAGTGACCCCTAAGGCCCCTATATCCCGTATCCCCGGGCCCGTATCCGCAGTCATAAGCTCACCAAGCGGTGAAACATATCTGGCCGGCAATGCAGTATAGTAGAGTCGGTAAGCACATCTCAGTGTCACATCTCACGTCTGACGATCCTGCTGCCCATCTGCCGCTGCCAAAAGGCAACTGCTCCCCAAGAGTGGCAGGGCAGAACCCACGGAATTAGATCAACCTGTTCGATCAACATGGCGAGTCCGGCAACGATGTCCGCAATGGTGAACGTGGAATCGTGACAGTCGCAGTCGCTGTCGTGCACATCCCACCCATCCGTCGGCGCTTGGCATGCGCACATCGTGTTTCGAAAAGACGAGCACAGCTGTCCGTACACAGGATG